CATGACTGTGCTATAAAAAAGCACAATGTGCATGGAAAATACATAATACTGCCACTTTAAAACTGAAAAAAACAGAAGATATTTGTAAGTGTGCAAAAACCTTTTTAGCCAAGAAGTGACAGATAAAGAAGTGAAGAAAATCTGCGGCCTTCTCTGTTTTTCTCCTGCAGTCCTCCTCATCCCAGCTACCCCCATCCCAACTTCCTGTGGTGGGATCAGAGGCTGACAGGGTCACACCCACCCCACCCTTTTTTATTCCTGGAACTCCACAGTGGGACCCCCTGCTCCTGGGTGGGGGGTTCACACACAAGCATCTTGTCAGTCCTCATTTATACACACAACATGCGCATAGGCTTACCACAGTCTCTCACTATCGCTACTCGTTAGTGCTGCTCTTCATGCGCATACACACAGATCTAGCTCTTGGGCCCCCCTCGGTGCTCTCCTTCCCCTCTACTGCCTTGTCGGAGGACAGATGTGGATCAAGTTGGATTTGCTGAAGATTCTCAGTGTTTGCTTCGACCTGTTTTCAGTGAGAACATGCGTGTGATCTGTAAGCTGAAATGCCATCCAGCTGACTTGAAATCTCTTCTTTTAGTGTTCACATTAAACACTTAACCTCATCTATCTAGAAAGCCAGACAGACTTAAGTTAAACACTCAATTATTATTCACAAATCGGATTTGATCCTGTTATGTTTACACCATGCAGATTTTAAATCCAAAACATTTTTGAAGGGACTAATATTCAGAGGTGCTCTAGCTTCTTTTCAATTGTTCCTTTTTATTGTGCAAGGGTTGCCCTGATCAGCTCTAAACTGTTTTCATTACACATGAGTAGTGACACTTGTATGTTGCCCTCAGTGTCTTGTAAATGACTGCAGATAAACCTCAATCCAAGTCTCCAGACTATCTTTAAATTTTATTTGCCAAAGCAGGCTCAGTTGTGTGTGTGTGTGTGTGTGTGTGTGTGTGTGTGTGTGTGTGTGAGAGGGTGGATGGAGGGGAGGGGGAGCAAAAAATAAAAAGATTTGCTTGTTAAGTACACACATTCTACTCTTCCATTACTTTATGTGCTTTTTTTTTGTAAAATTAGCTACTTCATTATTTAATTATTTATAGATTATGTTTTTAATCAACTTGAAATGTGTTTTGTTGCATTAAATGTAACAAAACACCAAATATAGCAATGGCCTCATGTAGATTAATTCACCAACACAGCTTTCACAGCAACTGATATAATCAGTAATCACTTCAATATGTCTAATTTAACCTTGCAAATACAAAAATAAACTTGACAAGTTACAATATTTTCTTCAGCTTTTGATTTCAGGCAGAAAAGATTTGCATTATTTTAAGGGTTAGCATTAAACACATAGCCTCAGCTAGAAAGATAATGGCTCTAGTTTCACAGATAGCTTTAGCTTTAGACGTAAAGGATTAGCATCAGGTAGACAGCATTATTTTTAGTTAGCGAGGCCACATTAGATTCAATTAGCATTAGCATTAGTTGAAAAAAATAGCATTAGCTTTAGCAAGTTGGATACCATTAGACTAAGTAAACATATAGGATTAATGTAAGATAGAGAGCAATACCTTTAGTTAGATATTTATTAGTTGTTGCACGGATGGCATTAACTTGAGCTAGATAGACAACTTAGCTAGAGTTGGAAAAATAGCAGATCATTTTAGCATTTGTCTGACAGTTATTGGCAGTGGTCAGTAAAAGACATTAGCTTAAATTAGACATATAGCATTAGCAGTTTAACATTAGTTAGACAGGAGGCATTGGCATGAGACAAATACCTTTAATATATGGAGTTACATCTGAGGAAACAATCCTACTGGATTCTACAGTTCATAAGTTCACCGGGATAGAATGAGGTTAATATAATGAGAATTTAACATTTAAAGTAGATGGGATAAAACTTGTATCAGCAATTTTAAACTTTCTTTAAAAAAAGTTATATTTACCTAAACCCTTTACAGGTAACTGGTGTTACTTTACTAAAAGTATATTTGAGTTTTTTAAAACGCAATTTCTGCTTAACAAAAAATCCAGTTTAGCCTGGAGAAAGTTCACATACTGTAGTTTTAATGCAGTAGACGGTTTACTTTTCAATCTGCAAATGATCTTATCTCACTGAGTCTAGTTTGATTGTCTAGCTAGAGCTTTATCTTGTCATCTGCCATTGGTACAACTGGATGTACTGGGGCCTGATGAATGGTAGATGAGATGTCACTAGTCACTAAAAATTTACAATAGAAATCTTGTCATTTTTGAAATCTTGTCATCCAAACAAATTGCAAAGGGTAAAAAAATCTGATCACAAATAGTTGAAGCCTTTTTTACCTTCATGTTCAAACTTCCTGGAAGCAGAACTGAAACACATACCAGTATAGATGAAGTCATGTCATTGTGATGCAGTGATACGTACATCCTGGTTGTGTTGCTATAGAAGCAACACAATCAGCATGCTTTACTTTCTTTGAAATAACTTTCTGTATCACGTTTAATTCTAGGGCAAAATGCTAACATGAGAGATTTCATTCCTAAGAAGTCATTTGTTTTTCACACCAAAAATATACTTTATTCTATGGGAGTCCAGTGAAATATCAGACATAGTCCATTTGTGGGTTGTGTTGTTGGTTTGGGGGGAAGGTAAAGCATCAAGCTGCATTTACCTTTGTTTAGAGACACAGAGGGGGCTCTGTCTGGTCACAATGGACCTGGGGAGGGGGACTTGTGTGTGTTCTCTGCATGAGTGTGAGCGGGGCGGTGCTTACAGCCACACCCGGCCTGATTAACTAAGGCCCCACCTCACTGTGGAATCTGTTGGGGCTGGGTAGCATACCAGCATAAAACTCAGCACCATGGTTGAGGCTCACAGGATCCAGGAAAAACGCAGCAAACTGGTCAACCAGAAAAGTTAGTTTACAAATAAGCCTCTATGCATGCAGTTAGTAGGCTTTTACAAATCACAGATTGAACATTTTTGCTTTAGATGCAACCAGTTTAGCCTTGCTTGCACTTAAACATAAGATGCTTTATAGTATGGATGGTCTGAATGCACCAAGACAGTGTTTTTTGTATAAAGCGTATGTCTGTGAACGTGCTGACCTTACAATATTAGGTTATTCATTTATTACTCAGAAACCAGGCCTGTAGCTGTATTCACACCAGCATCAGCTGAAATTATAGGGAAGCGAAACAGAAATTAGACAAGTCAGCATGTTTTAAAAGTCCAAGCAGGGGTTGTGACCTGCAGCACCAACTAAAATGGCACAACTATACTGATTAAAGCTGTGAGCTTTGAAAAACCTGTTCCGCCCTGTACCAGGAGCTGCACCAAGAATCACTCAAGAAGACGACATAAAAACTTCCTCCTTCATGAAATGTAAAGAAAAATGGAGTAGCACCAGAATTTATTGGTTGTAATATTTCTCCTTTGTTTTTAGTATAAGACCATGAACTGTTTCTTCTGTTAGTGGCAAATTTGTGTGTTTGTTTTGGTTTTATTTACCCAAAATGCCCTGTACTTTAGTCCATTTCCTGCTTTTGGAGCGCTCTCCAATCCACTTGGAGTTCACATTTTGATTCAAACCGCATCACAGTTTACTTCAACTGAATCAAGACTTGCTTTCGATTTTTGGTCCTCATCAGAGTTCAATTACGAATTCAGACCTCCCCTAACAAATCGGACTTCCTAGGCAAATTTACTGGAGTTAGATTAAAGCAGATGAAGTGTTAGTTTCCCAGTGTTTTGTAGACCCCCAAAAAGCTTCATTCTGTTCTTAGTCCTCCTTTAACATGTTTGCTGTTTCTCTTATATACATTGTGGCAAACAGGACTTCCTATGACTTTCTTTCAACAAGATTTTAGATGCATTAGAAAAAGTTTAAAGGGTATGAATACTCTTTGGCATAAATTGTCTTCTGATGTTAAAACTCATCCTTGTGCTTGTTTTTTTTGTTCTTTCCTTTTCCCCTTTCTTTGCTGGGATTTTCCCCAGCCTGTTCAGGAGAAACTTCAACTATCTGTATCTTGTCCTGTGTCCATGTGATATAGTTGAGAAATACAGAATAAAAGAGGAAACTTTGCTTTATTGAAGTAGAAGTAAAAGTAAACCGTTTAAACGCCAACTATTTCCTAAACCTGTAGACAAATTCATCTCAAAACCCTTGAAGTTGATCTTTTTGGGCTTTACTCGTCAAAAGTTTCTGCTTCCTGATAATTTGTGGGAGAGCTGATGATTTTCTGATATTTTAACTTATAAAGGAAGAGGAAATGGACAGCAGAGTAATCCAGAGGAACTGGGGTGTGTTGCTTCTCCTCCTGAATGTGTGTGTGTGTGTGTGTGTGTGTGTGTGTGTGTGCGTGCGTGTGTGTGTGTGTGTGTGTGCGCGCGCGCTTACGTCCCTCTGCCTTGGCACTCCCCAGTCGCTCTCTGAATGTGTGTGTGTGTTGCAGCTTGGCTTCCAGAAAAGGGTGTGTCCGCCTGCCTGCCACTGAAAGGGAGGGAGGGGTCAGTTCACGGCTACTCCTCCCTGCTCTGTCTGTTATTTCTCTTTCGTTCTCATTCCCTCAGTGTCAGCCTCAGGATTTAGGCCTTTGTTTCTCTGTCTCCTCTTCTCTTCTCTGCTCTCTTCTTTTACTTTAGCTTTAAATTTCCCCTCTTTTTTTAAAAACTGTGAGTGTGTGTGAGCCCTCTTCTGGCTGATTTTTAGAGAGGAGGTAAAGCTTGTTATCAGCTCTTTTGCCTTTAAACTCCAGCTTACAGATTCGTTTCTACCTTTTCTTTTTTTTTCTTAGTTTTCTCCTATTTTTCACCCCCTTTCTGTGGCTTCAAACTTTTTTCTTTACCTTCTTCTGACCCCTCCCCCTTCTTCTCCTCCTTATCTCCTCCTCCCCTCTCTCCCCCTTCCTGTCCTCTGCATCTTCTGCACAATTTGTACCTTCCTCTGCCTAACTAATCGTCTGCCTCTCCTCCTCTTCCTCAGTGCCAGTCGACTCCAAAGCAGAAGAAAAGTGCTGCTGGTGCCCGAAAGAAGCAGAGGAGCCCGGCCAAGCAGAGCGCCGTGACCCGGCAGCCACCATCCTCACCTCCGCCCCCCTCCGCCCGACGAGAGCAGGAGGAGGAGGAAGAGCTGGCTACTGGGCCTCGGCCGCCGCACGAGGAAGAGGAGAAGCCGAAGGAGGTGGGGACGCTCACCGTCAGGGTGAAGCAGGAGGAAACGGAAGAGGAGAAGGAGGCCCAAGGCCGGAGAGACATGCCCTCAGTACAGATCAAACCAGAGCCAGAGGAGATGGAGTGCACGGTGAGGAAGAGGAGGAGGAGGGAGGAGGCAGAGGTGGGGTTTTGGGTGGAGATGATTGGTGGATAGAGGAAGTGATGGAGGAGAATCAGTTGGGCGTAAGTAGGCGTCAGCAGATCTAGCTGCAGGTTCTGACGCGTTGGAACCCGTTGAGTCCTCACAGGATTTAAGATAAGATTCTGGTTTAGCAATAGTTTGTGATTTTTTTTAAATATATATATACCTTTGGAAGTTCCTAACTTTAGAAATCAGTAAAAGAAAATCCAAACAGAAGGTGTAAAGATCCATCAGATCAACAAAACTCTGAGTGAAAGCAGTTAGGTTTACTTTTTGTCTAAATTTAAATTAGCAAAACATTCAGAAAGTTTATTCCATGAATGGCTTTTATACGAAACCAGAAGGTTCAGAGAGCCGATACCCCATTTTCTCTCAGTTGATTTCCAACCATTTATTCATAAATTCAGCATAGTGAGTCCTCATCAGATTCTCCTTTATTCTGTTCTGTTGAAGCTTTGAGTTTTACTCTTACTTCTGCTTCTTTTGAGTCTTCTTGCTGCACTACATACTTCCGCACTGAAGGGTGTTGTTATCAAGATAATGGTAGGGCTTATGTTTTGTGTGATAATTATTAGTGGTGGGATGCTATTAAGATTCTAAATCCAGTTAATTTCTGACTCTGTAATTAATTTTTGATAGAATGAGCAACAGTTTCAATTTAAAAACCCATTTTGCTGCTAAATTATTGAATAAATAGACAACTGAGCTGAACAACAAAGATATTTATTGCTTTTAATCTGTTATTTAGGTTATTCCTCTATCTGATTGGTGCAAAGTCCTATTATGCCCATTCAGCTTTCCCGTGTTTCAGGAACCCCTGATCATTTTTAGCATTGGGGACGTCTGTGCTGGTGCATCATGTTTAGCATTGCGATGCTATTTTAGGATTGAATAATTTTGCTGAAGTGTCAACCTGTCCAGGGTGTACCCCGCCGTTGACCCCTGGAGCTGGGCACCAGCTCCCCTCCTGACCCGACTAGGGATAACCATGTAGGATAAAGGATGGATGGATAATGTTGCTGATATGCTAACTCCTTTTAGCACAACTTCAACACAATAGTAGTCTTTCCAACTTCCCTTTAAATCGTTTTTTGAAGCAATATTAACTCCCAGTGGGCCAAGAGAAGCTGCTTTGTTGTTTCTTTGCAAATGTCTCTTGTGCGTCAGATTTATAGGCACACCAGAAACCTAATAAAAGCGTTCCGCTTAGAACTTTTGCATGCAAAAAATAAATTGTGATTAAATAAAATGTTTAATGCGTTACAAATTGTGTCATTAATTAATCAAGATGACCACATTACAGTCCTGGACCCACTAATTACCTCATATTATGTGGGTTACTATACCTTATTTTTTACTATTGATTTAAAAAAATTAGAGAAAATAAAAATGAAGCCGAAAAATCAGTGCAGTAGACTCTTAGTATTCAGAGCAGTGAAAGAAATTTTTCCTTTTGAATAATTTAGATATGCTCAATGGAAAGAAAATCTGTGAATAGGCAAATTTCTCACAAATTATCTGAAATTACTTTCCACAGAAATATCTGCAAATACTGAATCAGAACTAAGTCATAGAGATGCTATTTTATGAATAATAATAATAATAATAATAATAATGATAACAATAATAATAATGCATTTATTTGTATTGCTCTTTACAAAAACCACAAAGTTAAACACAGCTTTACAATTAATACAATAAAATAAAACAGAAATGACAGTCAAATAATAAAAAATGTCAGAGTCTTGAAGAGTCCTAGGTCAGAGGTCAGTCTTATTTCTAGTAGAAGTTTATTCCAGAATCTGAAGTTTAAAATCAATCCTAAGCTGATTGTGCTTCTTAGTTTGTTAGCAGCATTCTGTATGGTTTGGACGTGAATTAGTAGAGACTAGTTTATGCCAAATGAAGGGTATTTTGTTAAGTCCAGTCTCAAAGTTATAAAAGTGTGTACAGCCTTTACAAGATCGTTATAGTTTGAAAACATTTTGGCTTTGGCCAGGAGCCCTATGTGAAAGAAACACACCCTAACCACATCATTTGTTTGCAAAGTTTAAAATTTGAGTCAGTTTTTTTTTTTACTTTAAGTAAACACTTGATAGAGTTCACCACTGTAAACTGTGGTGAGAGCTCTACAGACTATGCTGAGCTTCAAACTGTTTTCTTCCCTCAGAGAGGCAAACAAGGTAAAGATGTTCTGTAAAGTCCCACTTGAAACCCTATAAAACCTCTAAAGAAATTGACCCAAATACTTTCATGAGCTTATTAAGGTCACAACAGGTTTAATAACAAGTTTTTCCCCCTTTAACTTGAGTTAGCAACCCAAACTGAACTCCAGCGTGTTTAATCTGTTTTGTTGTTGACTTACCATCCAGAAACTACTTTCTGCATTCTTTTTGGTTGTGCAGGAGGCTCTACTTCTCCTTTTCAAACTTGTAATTGCGCATCTGTTTGCATCCATTTTCACGTGCGAGTGTAAACGTTGAGTTGGAGGGTGTGGCCAGGTGCAGCTTATTTGGATTTAAAGTAACAAGAGGCCCTAAAACAGCTTGATCTGAAAGGAGCTCAGAATGGACAGAACTGATCAGACTAAAATCTCATCAGCTAAGATTGATTTTGCTCAAAAAAATGATGTAACTGACAATGTTTTGTTTGGCCCCTAGAACCTCCCCTCCCTGTTCAAGGAAGAATAATAGGTCACCTTTAAACGAAATTTGAGTTGTCCCACAGGAATCAAAGTGGATAGCTCAGAAACACTTTATTTCTTACACACTTAAAATTTCCCCTTCTTGTTATCATTCTATCTGCTCGCCTGTTAACATCTTGCACCCTCATTATTGATGTGTGCTAATTAAATATAATCATAAGTACTGTCTGTACATCATCCTGCATGAGAACCATTTTTTGCTGGCGCAGGCAAGTCGCTGCACATTAACGTTTCTAACTGCATATTGAAGCTGATAGGTTTTAGGACCATAACCTGTTATTATCAGAGCATATATGATGCAAGGCGTGAGGATTAATGATAAGGCAATGTTTGTCAGTTACAAGCACGCAACAACAGCCATTACCTCAGCCTCGCTGTCCAGAGAGAGGCTGGATTGGTGCAGAATATGTTGGAGGACGTGGAAAGGAGCAATAGGAGACAGACGGGGATAGGTTTCAGATGGAGGGAGGAGATAGGGTGGAGGTGGAGAGGGTGTGGACAGTCAGATAAGAGCAGACTGTTGTCCATTTTGTCTTCCATGTTGCAAGATGAGGACGCTTTGTTTTTAAAGGAGAATCCAACAGAGAGGCTTACTGTTGTACAACCCATAATGTATCATATCATAAATCCATTTACTGCATGATAAATTAAAATGGGCTTGATAATTTCCCATTGGACAATAATCATTAAAGAGATGTTCCCCTTGAATATCGTTGAAAAATGCTGCAAACGTTTTTGGTTTGCAGTACCTGTCACGTTTCCCTTTTCTCTCTGTCTTAGCTAAATGAATTATATTTTTTTAATCAATCTGTGAGTTTCCATACTTCCATTGGTATGTCACTATTTGTTGAAAATATCGCAATAATTTTTGGAAAACTTGGTTGTAGTGACCTAGTAATAAGTAATGCTTCTGTTACTTTTGTTAATCAAAATGCAGTCTGAATGTTGAGGCAGTGTATGTGTCAGTAACTTGGTAATTTAAGAAAGTCTGGACTTTGACTATACCAGTCTTTTTTTTCTTTTATTTAGCCTTTTTTTATCCAGGTGAATGATTAATAACAAATTCTTATTTACACTAACGACCTGGCAGGCAGGGAAGAACATGTTGGAAGATCAAGCAGCACATTTTTCCAGTAGACAACAAACATTAGCAACATAGTTGAGATCATAAAACGGTATAGACAATACTGAGACAAAGACACAGAATAAAAATGACATTAGTCGAAACATGTGCATGTTTCAGACAGTGTCTTTAAAAGTTCCAATTGATAAAAAGTTGCTCAACTTTAATGTTTTTGAAGCTTCTTCCAGTTTTTTTTCCAGCATTATGGAAAGACTGTTCTCTTTTCTTTCTGGGACATTCTGTTGCAGATGTGCTGCTTTGTTCGGGATGATTGTTTGATTCTAGAGTACATTAGTGTTTGGAGAAGCTCATGCTGCCCTGATGAAGCCCAAACCATCACCCTATCACTACCTTATCTTTGTCTAATTAGGCTGATGTAACCTTGAACTTTCATGCTGAGTGTGGGATAGAGGATCTGTGTATGTGTTGGGATTGATGTTTACACGTTTTCTTAGATGTCAAATAGTTTGGAGATGACTATGGGCCTTTCCAGGCTGAAGTGAGGCAATAATTACATCTCTAAGGTTGTTGTCCTTCGGTCTTGCCGTTGCAGGATGATTTATGCAAACCCCTTGAAATTATTTGTATAAATCTATCAGCTTTGTGCAAAAAATTGTAAATTTGAAGGTGAATGAGCTTTAACCGACTCTACCATCATAAAATAAACAAATTACAGAACGCTTCAGTGACGCATCATTTCCTGTTTGGTTACACTGCTTCTGTAAATGTCATGGCTTGTCTTCGTTTAGCCTGAGCTGAAAAATCATGAACGTATTAAGTAACCAGACTCAAGCTGACACATAGAGACCTTGTGCTGCACATTTGCTAAATGGAGAAAACTGCATGTATTTCAAAGCCTTCAGCATGTTCCATCTGATACAGAGCTGGGGTTTTTAAAGGATTTGTTTTAGCAGCCATTTGATTTAAAAAAAAATGCAATAAAGGGGGATTAAATTTGCAACAGTTTGCATTTAAATATTTCTGGATAGTTTGTGTGTATTAGTCTGAAAGACGTATAATTTTTTTTTCTAATTCGACATTATTCTGTGCTGGTGTTGCTTTCTTATGTGTTACCAGTTATTGACCGCTATAATTTTGACTAAACCGACATGAAGCAAT